CTTACAGTATCTTCTTGATATTTTCTATTCTATATTATTTATATCATTGACCTTCCACTTTCCCACTATATTAAGAGTATGTACTCTTAATATTTAAATGTTTTCATCAAATATAACACATTCAAAAGTGCTTTACAAAAATGAAAGACATTAAGAAAAAGGCATTTTAAAACAGTCATTAAAAAGCAACACAATCTACCTGCATTGCAATTACTCTAAACGTGTAATAACGTGCTTTAACCAGTAGGAGGTGCGGGTTAAAAAGCTGTCAAGTTTACAGTGTTAACAAAATAAAATATACTGCTGTTTCTGGTTTAGTTTACGACGGATATATTCTGTTATTGTTTTGATATTTGTAACACAAAAGCGATGTAAAAAACCCACAGCAACACAGAAAAGATGGTCTTAACATGACCCAGCATTCTAGTAGTTAATAAAAAACAATAATATCAAAACAAATTACTAACTTTATTGTGAAATTAAAACAGAACGGTAAAAGAATAGTTTCCGGTCTATTCTGAGGCCCGATCTCTGTAGATAAATAAACAGTGGCGGCCGGTCCATAGGGGCGCTAGGGGCGCCGCCCCACCTCTTCCCATATTGATAAAAATAAATAATAATTAAAATTAAAATAAAAAAAAAAAAATATGTTTAAAAAAATATATATGTTTTTATTTTTATTTTTAATGAACAAGGTAAATATTATATAATTGGTATCAGTAAAATGTATAATCTACAATAAAATCTCGTTTAAAATTGTGTTACGATGTCTAAAGTTACTGATAAGTCACATGTTTCCTGCCTGGCCTTGCCCATGCACCTTCTCTCGTCTGGGCGCTAAGAGAGGAGCCTTCAACCAGTGCAGCAGCAGCCACCAGCAGCTGACTGTTGCTATCTGTAACGTGTAAACTATGCCGCGAAAATATAATTTCAGCCAATTAGCGTCGTCAAAGATGACGGTCACCGGGCGCCAATGTCAGCGCCCAGTGCAGTCTGTGAGTAGTTTGGACAGTGACTCGTATCCGGTTGACGCAGTAGTAGTAGTTGATGAGGATGGCTTCGTGTGCAGGTGGAGTCTCCGGACCTCGGTCCGCGCCTAATTCTGTTCAAGAGCTAATCTCCAATCCTTTCGAAAGGAGAAGTTTGGCAGATAAATTGTTGCTTAAAGACCTTGCACCGGACCAACCCGATTTGAATATATCGCAGCAATCTCGTGAAAAAGACAACATTTATACACGAGGCTTCACAAGTAGCTGGTACACAAGAAAGGCTTGGCTAGCTGGATGCAAACAGGTAAATGCTGTCTTTTGTTTCCCATGCTTGGATATCACTTTATATGTAGAGAGGAGGTTTCCCATGGTTGTTAGAAGTTTATTAATAAGTGGGCATTTATCACAGAAGTGATTGTTCTGTCTCCACGTTTGTTGCATTGTCTGTGATGTATTTTCCAACGGTTATAGCTCCTGTTCTGTCCCAGCAACACTACACGGTTTGCAGCTCCACCACATTTTTGGTTTATCTTCGGTGTCGCTTAAAATCTGCTTCCCATCGGACTAAAACCTCCACGTAATCTGAAGACAGATACTTGAAGTTATTTAAACCTTTTGCAAACTTTATGTTCTTTCTTGCTCTAGCCTTGCCAGATACATTGTACATAACACATATATTATCATTATGCTAACTGGTTGTTCGTGTTAGACGATGTAGCTTTTTCATTTCTGAGTTATTGATATATGTAAATAAGCCTGTTTGTAAATAATCCTCAGAGAAACAAAGAAAAAAACACAATTTATGACATTTTGTGCTGTGGTTATTTTTTTTAAATTGCATTTATTCACAGTTCAGTTTGAAATGCTGTAGTGACTTGTATTGAACCACTTAAATATTTATAATTAATGCTACTGAAAAGATGCTATTAATTTTATATCTCACATGCAGTTCACTGTAAAGCTACTTGGTGAAGGTGTTGGTTCATAAAACATGAACAGTTTTAAGAAAGAAAAAAACAGACCAGTTCTGAGAACACAAATTCCTGGTAAAGTAGTAGATGTTCAGGTTGATAAATAATATTTTCCACACTGAAGATTATGGAGGTATTGATCAGTCTTCTCATATTTTTAAGCCTCGATTTCTCCTTCCCCCCCCCTCTAACATCACCAGAAGTCATCATTTAAGGGGTCATTTCTCGAAAAAAAAATTCGGGGGGAAACCCCCCGGGTAGGTCACTTGCGGTACGTCAAGAGCCCCACCAAAAAAAAAGACCACCGGCCGCCACTGTAAATAAAGAACTACGACAGATGTGTAATGTTTAATGCAGCCAAACCATTCATTACAATGCATTCATGTGATGACTTTCAAAGAGTAAAGCAAGCACTGCTGAATAAAGTATGATTTGATATAATAGAATCTATATGGCGCTGCTGTGACCTAAGGGGGGGGGGGGGGGGGGGGGGGGGGGGGGTAGGACACGTTCTAAGCACATGGTCATGGTGTAGTCCCATAGCTGAGGATTCTGGGTAGTGTAGTGTCTTCTGCCATCCACACACTCCGAAAAAATATTTGTTTCTCCGAATCGAAAGGGGAAAATACAAAAGCATTGTACACAATTTAAACCAATCAATGTTGTGTAATTAATAAGGATAATCTGGTGTTTTTGAGTTGGTGCAGATATCACTGTAAATAAAATCAATCGACAGTAAGGAGAATACTTACTTCCGGGTGTAAAATCCTCCGTTATCCTTTGGGTCCGTAATACAATAAAGGGGACTTGATCAAATAGGAATATAATTATCTTTTAAATAACGTTAACTAAAGGGAACAATCTATTTGACACAGCTGAAGCTCTGGCCTTCCTTAAAAACGAACTAATTTAATAAAAATCACAGTTGTATTACACACAATGCACTGGTTTTTGAGAACAAAAATTGGTGAATAATGCACCATAATACATTCTGACGAAAAATAAAAATTATTATGAATACAAATAAAATAAAAGAAGCCTCCCGTGAGTTACTACAAGCTATAAAGTAGATTTTAAAAACGTTTTATAGAATAAAAGCTCAATGCTGGACGTTGTAGAAATGCGTGTGTGCACCACGACAAAGGAGCCTCATTCACTTTACATTGGGGTTGTTTGCGTGGTGCAGACATGTAAATGTAGCAAAGTTCGTGACTCCACCACGCACTGCGGTGTTAAGGAGTCGTGGTGGAGTCACGCATTCTGGTGAGACCAGGTTGAATAAAACCTATACAAAAAAGCCATGCCAATTTACTTCTAAAAGAGACTAATTAGGTTAAGGAAGCTAAAAGTGTACTAGACTTCCTCATAACCTAGGTAAATCCAACGGTAACGTTACCAGGGCAATTCTTAAAGATTAATGCAACCAAAAATCACCACATACGCAGGGTTAACGTTAGTGGGCATGTTATATACTGCTTCCTTTCAGTACAGAACATATACAGTAATAACCACTATCCAAAAACCAGTACAGTAGATGTAGACAGTGGAGATGATGGAGAGTGTGTGAAGTAATAGGAATAGCTCTTCTTACAATCATGTTAGCCATATGCTTTTTCTTATTCCTGATGTGTCTAAGTACTTTTCCTTCCTTATGAAACAAAAATATATTGTAATATATTGGTAAATATAATACAATATACTGGATCATACATTTCCATATATGGGAAAGTAGTCCTTATATTTTTAAATATATTGCAATATATGCATGGACCATGTATGGCTATATATTGATACATATAAAAAAAATATATTGCAATGAAAACAAAAACTGCACTATACATTTATATGTAATAGTTTTATTGAAACACTCATTTATCTTTCATGAGTTACACAAGTTTACATAAAATTGAACAGATATTCATAAACAGTTATCTCACTTCGTTTTGTATAGTTACCCACTTTATATATGAACATAATGTTTGATGGTAGCCTATATATAAAAAAAGTACAAATTGTCCATTGAATGATGGAAAATAATATACAGTTTATAAATATATATAGACACACACATATATGCACGCATATATATATGCATATATGCACGCATATATATATATATATATATGCATATATATATTCACATATATATATATATATATATGCATATATGCACGCATATATATATGCATATATGCACGCATATATGCATATATATATGCATATATGCACGCATATATATCTATGCATATATTACGGCCGACCGGCTATTTGGAGTGGAACGCAGCCCATCCACGGCAGACAGGCCAAACAGTATTCGAATGCGCCACTTCCGGCTGATTTCGGGGAGCCCCCCCCCCCTCTCCAGCAATAGATTGATCTGATTGGCAGATTCAAATCTGCGTTGCTGCCTCTGTCTGTTGATTCTGTCGCTGAGTGTCAAAGAGAAAGCATTCATCAGGTGCTTCGAAACGGAAAATTAAAAAAAAACGAGAGGAAAATACAGCACCAGAGTCAGGTATGTGTGTGAGCATTTAAAACTATTTTAAATTGAAATAATTCTGCATGTACACTACAAGTAGACTAGTTGCTTAATCGTATGTCCCGTCTCTCGGCACTACACCAGCTACATTAGCTAACGTTAGTTAAATTAGCTATGTTAGTTCCCTCGTGTATGAGTGTATAACCGGTCCGCAGCTTTGTGAACATTCAATTTCGAAGATTTTCGATGTTACAGTCAACTGAAGTCGACCCAAAACAGCCAAAAATAGCGGACCTTTAGATCGCTAACATTTTAGCATAAGTCAATGGAGTTTAACATAGCGAAAACTAGCCCCACGGCTAACGGACATTTTCTGACTGGTGACGATGATGAGCTAGTTAAGTAATGTAACCACAGTTAGTCTATGTGTTGTAAATTCCCCTTGTTCTCCTTGATCTGCATTATATCGTTCGTGTTTTAGTCAGGCACATTTAGGGACAGCTAATGTAGTGCAGCTACGGGTCCTCGAGCTGGTTACATCCATGGGTTACACATGTGCGTTCATGACAGGACATTATTGCGAGGAGAACTCTCTGCTGAAAAGCGAGAAGGAGATTAACCAGAAGATCCTGAAGCTGACACGGAGCTCTGCAGGGGGGGACGCCAGTCCGGAAAACCCAAAGAAACGCATCCGGACGGTGTTCTCTAAGCCTCAGCTGCTGGGTCTGCAGCGAGCCTTTCAAAAGAATCCCTATGTGGTTGGAGTAGTGAAGGATCAGCTGGCGAACAAACTCCACCTCACAGAGACTCAGGTGACTGTCTGGTTTCAGAACCGCAGGGCGAAGGACAAGCGTCGCAAGCTGTAGGAAGAGTCTCCTGAAGCGCTGCTTCCTCTCCTGCTGATGTTCAGGAGGGGTTCTGCTCGTTCTCCCGCACGGCCAGAGGGGTGAGCCAGGACTCGTCCATGAAGACGGCGCTGATGGCCGTCGCTGGGGTCGGCCTCGCCGGACTCACCTTCCTCCTGGTGCGCTAAACTAGCCTTCGTCATCATTAACACAGGGTGCGTACGGGTGCTGGAAATCCTTGAAAATGCTTGAAATTGTAAGAGGTGTTTTCAAGGTTTGAAAAGTGCTTGAATTTTGGGAATGGTGCTTGAATTTGGGATAAAGTGCTTGAAATTGTAAATGCTTTACTTCGCTTTTTAGATTAAAAGAAAATAAAGAAGTCTGAGCGCGCTTAATTGCTTCGCTTTTACATAAAACAGCTCCGCTCCGGCCTTCCCGCGCAATGCGCGTGACCGGCAAGTGTTTTTGTTACGTGTGTGACCTGGGCATTCTGATGAGAGTGATAGATGACAGTATGCCAGGAGGTTGCCGTTTCAACGAGCGTTGGCTAGCAGAAGACAAATACAAGCCATGGCTAAGACGAGGGTCAAGCGAAGCCCAAGAGTAGCCTCCTGCAAAGTGTGCAACAATAACGATGCGAGAGTCTGCGCTGACGAGCCACACACCACACGAAAGGTACGCTGTAGTATAACATTTTAGATTAGGCTATCGTTGCATGTAAAATACATGACACTTTTCTCTGTGCGCGGCAAAACAAGCTCGCCAAAATGGCTTCACTAGTCTGGCAGTATTTTAAGTGTCCGAAAATGACAATAAAATAGCGGTATGCAACGTGTGTGTGAAGCAGAAATCCTGCAGCTCCACCCGCTGTGACGGACCGGTGAGCGGAGCAGAACACACATTAAGAGTTAGACCTAACACACTTAGCTATTTTATCTACCTCTGGAACAAGCTAAACTAGTTATACATATATTTATTCTTAACTGTCGGGTCGCTCATTACTGGATCAGTGAGCTGCAGGAGATACTGACGGGCTGTCAGGAGAGAGAGAGAGAGGGGGAGAGAGGAAAAGAGAGAGATATCGGTATCGGCCGATACTGATTCCGGCGATCGGCTCCAAAATTGGCGATCGGAGCATCCCTAATAATTGTATATGATATGTTTTATAATGATTGATCATGAAAGTGTTATCAAAGCTGGTAAAGTTGCAGCTAGTTTGAATGACTTTGTATACTGCAGAGTAGCTTGTGAATTTACTCCAGGTGGAACTAAAGTCTGATTTAACACTTGATTATATTTCACATCATTCATCCACATCTGTAAAGTAACTAAAGGTATTAAATACATGTAGTGGAGTCAAAGTACACCATTTACCTCTGACTTATGTTTACTGCCAACCTAAAAGTACCTCAAAAATAGTAATCAATAATATATTGAAAAGTTATTTGGCTGATTGTTTTATATTGGCTCAGCCAGGTTATATGGAATGCCCAGTCTACGTACAGATGGGTCACACATTTTGAAATATTAAACTTAGTTTTCTTTTCTAACATTTTTAATTTTTCATCCTCATGTAGAATGCTATTATGAAACACACATTTGGTTGTTTATAGCATAAAGAACATCTGATTTAATGTGAGGTAGGGAAATAATCATTTGAGTATAAGTATGTGTATATAAATATGTAATTTACAACAGCTGTAAGATGCTTGAAAAGCTTGAAAATGCACCTTGAAAATGCTTGAAAAGTGCTTGAATTTGACTTTGGAAAAGGTGTAAGAACCCTGTTAACACGTCTCCATCCATGTTCTCATTTGGCACAATTAAGCAGACGAACATCAATGCTGCGAACACAGGCCTAATCTGTAGTGAATTCAGGGTTATAATCTCAAGTCATCAACTGAATGTTTGCACATGCTCAGACCCCACAGACGCATCAATACTGACATTTGCTCCTTAAGATTGTAAACATAATCTCAATGCCTTCAGACATGTTGGAGTAAGTAGCATTTAGCTTGCATATCTTTAGACGGTTTAATTACTAAAGCACAGGTTTCTGCACAGAATCGTCGTTGCTCTCAATGTTTTGTATTTTCGACTGTGCAGCTATAAGACTTTCATTTCAGTTATTCCCACAGCTTTTGGTTTTGAGTTGTTCAATTGTAAGCTGCCTTTTTATTCATGTGTTTACCCGAGTTGTGTACGTGGTATAGAGCCATTCTTGTGTACAATGTATAAATTAATATATTATATTTATATGAAATGAAACTGTAAGCAGGGGCCCCTTCTTTTTCTATCTGACCCGCAGCTAACGCAGTTGTTTCATTGTTCTCATGCGTGTCCTGCATCCATGTGAAATGTGATTTACAGCGCTCATGACAACACACCGGTGCTACGATATGTAGAGTTGTTTCTCATATCAAACAAACCAGGGACCAATCTGACTTCAAACATATTGCTATTAAAACAAAACGTTGCTATAGCATTTCCCCCCCAACAGATCTCTTAAACATTATATTTTTACATTGTTTTGGTCTATTTATTTGTCACTGTTTTTTTTTTATAATAAAAAAAGAACCAATTAAAAAAAAAAAAAAAAATTATTGCGCATCGTCACATGCATAATTACCATCGTCACAGAGAGAATGCGTTCGTGAAGAATGTGAGCATATATGCAGATCTTTAGTGTTGGTAATGTTATAAGATTGTATGCATAGTGTCCTGCTGAGTCAGTGTGTTAATGAGTCTTGATGTCCCGTTTTTAGTTGCTATGTTGTTCAGGAATTGAGCTAATGCTAGCTAGTTAGCTAAGTTAAGCTATTCAGTGATAGTGTGTGGATGAGATGCTAACTTAGCTTTTATTAGCCGTGTGTTTGCAACGTGTCTAATGTGTTTTTAGCAACAATTAGTATTGCTGTTGCTTATTATTAATAACCATAGTCTGGTTAGTTATTGTAATTTGAACCTTATTTCTATTTCTGTGTATTTTGCAGAAACCATTCATTCATTCTCTACTACTCTACGTTATCATTATCATCATACTCATCAACCCATTCAACATCCTGTATGTGATTCCACATCAAGCATGATGTATTCTGTGTTGATGATCAGAACCAAGCTAATATAAAGTCCGAAGACTGTACTTCCTGTCTCCGTGTCAACTCTCTAACCGGAGTGCTGTTTTGGATAAAACTGCTCCAGCACAAACATCACAAAACACATAAGATTCCCCAATACTATGTGTTCTGATGTTAGTAACTATGTAGGCTAACATTAGTTAGGCTATGTGTTGTGGACTAATGCATTCAAGTTAGTTCACATTTTAGTTGTTATTGCCCCTGCTGACAATTGTGTGGATAATATGTAGCCTGCAGTCAATGGCATTTCACATTTTGCTCTCCAGTGTATGTTATTTTAATGTTGACCCATAATACTATATATCTATATATTTTACAGGAGTATTGTTGAAATTCATAGGTCGAACTAAGCCTGCAGAACCACAAGTCAAGAGGACAGAGGAGCCAGATAGCAGTGGTGACTGAGACAGAATAAATAAGGAGAGAGGGCCCATGCAGAGGCAGACATCAGTAGTGAGGAATCAGACCCAAAAGACACGAGGACAGAGGAGCCAGATCGCAGTGGTGAGGAACGCACTGTCATTTAATTTCACTGTCATTTTACTTTTCACATATCACTTTATTCACTATTCAGCTTAGTTATCCTTGCCATGAAGGAAGGAATGAATGATTGAATGGATGAATGTTCTATATTATTTTAATGACAGATTGAACCACAGCAATATTGTTTTAGAGATTTTATATGTTTAACTGCTATGCCTGTCATCTCTGCTCTGTGTCATTGTGTTGTCTCCTGGGTTCTGTAGTGCCCGGAGTCTGTCTTTTTATTTTTTTCCTCCAAACCCCATCCCCTCAGGACGCCTTTTGCCTCCTGTCAGGTCATCATTGTTATAAGAATTTGTTCTTAATTGATTTTCCTGGCTAAATAAAGGTGGTTCTACTATTTATTCAGTTATTTTATTACTGGTACTGCTAATTGCATTATGCGTATTGTTGTATATTGTATATACGTATGTATTTACTACTACTACTTACAAAATCGAGGGTTGTAGCTTTGTGTCAGTACATATTTCAGGGTTTTTCTATGCCTTTGTTAATCTAAATTCTAATACTCATAGGCGACTACCACTCCTGCCGATGCCGATGCCGAGGCCCAGTTCTCCCTTCCCACCACCCCAGGCTCATTGTGCTAGGTAAAACTCTCATTCAATAAAAGTAGTCTTTTAAAGGTGGGGTAGGTAATTTTGGAGAAACCAGCTCGAGTGCGCTAGAATTTGAAAATACACAGCCGGAAAAAATCTGCCACTTCCTTACAGAGCCCCTCCTCCAACACACACAAACGCGCACATGACCAATGAGGGCACGAGATAAGTTTGTGCACAGATGGAAGGCTGACAGGCAGGTAGGCCATCCAGTTATTTTAGCCGGGCCGGCTCAGATGATTGGTCGTGCTTTTTACAGTACTACGGCTTCCACAGATGATATTTTTTTATGGATTTTTTGTCAAAGCACTTCAGATATTCATTGCTATCGGGATGTTAAGAGCATTCCATGGAATATAACAAAAAGTGTATCTCGAGCCGGTTTCTCAAACTTACCTACCCCACCTTTAAAGATGAATGCAATTACATTTAAAAAAGTTTTAAACAGAACTGTTACAGATGCAGATGCTTGGTCCAAATTCCATAAAATATACCAACCAGTAGCGCCACACTCAGACGAAAATGTACAAAGCCTATTCTTCCACTATTTGTATTCCCACATTATTCACCAAGCCAGCCCATGCTTTAATATAGATATTATGGATATTGTTATAATTCCTGCTGTCTTTTGTGAACTTCTAATTATTTGTAATTGTTATGTTCCACAGATGCTGTAGTAAACCACCATCCAGGGACCAAGACATCAGATATAAGAACATCCATTAACACAAGAATTTGTGAGTTAAGGCACGAAAAAAACAAGATTGACGATCAAATAGGGTACAAGACTGTTTTTTTGGCCCTGTTCCGGACCTTGTTTTAATGAGTGATCAGCTCATGTTTAAAGTTGTCACCAGGTGAAACAAAAAACAAGATTGTTAAATAGGATAACAGACTGCTCTTTTTGGCCCTGTATGAAATAACAATGCATCATTTATTAACTATACCTATACAAAATGTAATACATTTTCCCTTCATTATGTAATAACACCTCCTTTTGTAATAATTTGCCCATTATGTAGTAAACAAGTTCAATGCAAATATGTAATACATGTCGCCACATTTTGAAATATATTATTACATATTGCTGTGGTTATTACAAAATGAGTTGCAAACAATAACATTACAACTGTTTATTTATTTATTTATTCATTCAACCATGAATCATCCTTACTCATAATTTAAAAATATTTCAGTAGAATATCTTTCATTGGCCAAAACTAGATCAAGTGTTACCATATTCATTAGCCAACATGTATATCAACATCAATTTTGGGATATATTTACAGTTTGGTTATGGTTACATAATGAATATTACAGTTTTTTAAAAGGGCAACTCACGCATTTTGTAATAACCATTGCAAAATGTAATAATTTATTACAAAATGCAGGGACATTTATTTTATATTGCGTTCAGGCTGTTACAGAATGCAGCAGATTATTACAAAATGTGGGTTTTATTACATAATTACATAAAAATGTTCTTGAGTCATTACATAATGTGTTGTTTATAGGCCTTTTCTTTTATTCTTTCCTTGTCCTTCTTTTAATGAGTATTTTGATAACTGTTACACATTGATAGAAAAAAACAAATTAAGCTTCTCATTATTCAGACTCAGCTCTCAGCGCTTAAGCTTCTTTTAAATGTTGATAAAACCAAGGTAATGCTCTTTTCAAAAACTAAAAAAGACACCAGAGCCTGTTTTAGATATTTTAATTACACAAGGAATAAAACTTGAAGTGGTTACCTGTTACAAATACCTTGGTATCTGGCTTGATGATTGTCTCACTTTTAAACTTCATGTCAATAACCTGCTTAAAAAACTGAGGGTGAGGCTAGGTTTCTTTTCCAGGAACAAGTCCTGTTTCTCACTTGAGGCCAGGAAAAGGCTCTGTGACCTTTTGACCTGTGCTGGACTATGGTGATCTGATCTATATGAATGCACCTGCCAATTGCCTGGTCAAGTTAGATGCCGCCTATCACAGTGCACTGAGATTTGTGACAAACTGTAAAGTATTAACCCATCACTGTACCCTGTATGCAAGGGCTGGTCTGCCTTCACTAACTGTACGGAGGCTCAGTCACTGGTACATTTTTATATACAAAGCCATGTTAGGGAAACTTCCTTCCTACATCTGTAAGTGGCTACTGCCTGAGATCGAATGTTGTGATTTTATTAAATGTGCCAACTGCTAGGACTGTCTTAGGGAAGATAGCATTTAGATGCGCAGCTCCGCTAACTTGGAACAGTCTGAGCAATTTGGTTCCACTAAATGTTTTTAAAGCAAGGATAGATATTATCCAATCGGAAACTGTTGGAACCTGTAAATGTTACTAGCTATGTAAACTGTAGTCACTGTAAATATGCTGTATGATGTCCTTTTTTGTTTTTCTGTTATGTTTATATGTATTCATGTGGAACCTACTTGCAGCAGGTCACCCTTGAAAAAGAGATCAATGATCTCAATGGGATTCACCTGCATAAATAAAGGTTTGAAATTAAATGAAAGATTTTTTTTATCAGAACATGCATTTCTCCTCATTGTGAACATATATTGCACTCATGTTCAGAATATATGGTACGTACATGGTCTTTTATAAATCTGAATATATATATAGTGCATACATGTCCCCATATAATTGTGAATATATAGCGCATACATGTCCCCATATAATTGTGAATATATATAGTACATGTCCCCATATAATTGTGAATATATTCTACATACATGTCCCCATATAAATCTGAATATATAGCGCATACATGTCCCCATATATTTGTGAATATATATAGTACATGTCCCCATATAATTGTGAATATATTCTACATACATGTCCCCATATAAATCTGAATATATAGTACATACATGTCCCCATATATTTGTGCATATATATAGTACATGTCCCCATATAATTGTGAATATATTCTACATACATGTCCCCATATAAAACTGAATATATAGTACATACATATAGTACATGTCCCCATATAAATGTTAATATATAGTAAATGTATGTTCACATATATACACAACCAATATATTATATATATTTACATATATTACTCAATATATGGAAAGCGGCAATTACTGATGTATTATCACATATATTACAATATATTATCACAATATATTATTCAATATATATATTGTAATATATTAACACAATATATTATTCTATATATCTTCAATATATTTTCAATATATTTTGTAGATATGAATAAATATGTTTTTCATGTTGATTATTAATCAGTATCACTTGGTGTAGCCAACAGCAAGATTTCCTTTATTAAATCTTTTCAATTAACCAGTAAATCAGAAAACAAAATAATGCAATATATTGACAGTTAATATATGGGGAAATATATTTTCTTTGCGTAAGGGTAGTTTGCCACTTTTAAATTAGATTAGCGCTATGAAGTTAGCACACAAGAGTTCAATTGTACCTGTGTAAATTCCTCTCCTACCTGTTGATTTTGTGACGTATAGCAATCACATATTTCAAAGCTGCTAAGGAACTTAGTTTCCAAAGACTTTGCTTCGGTTTTAGTGAGTGTTTAAGAGAATTCGATGCACAGAGACTTTATTGCACTAACAGTCTTCTCTGTTTGATATCGCGCGCAATCGCTTTACAAAGCAACGTTAGGAGGCGTAGAAGTTTAAGTGAGTTTATTATAAGAAAAGCATATATAAAAAACAAATGTATCCAATCCTAAATATCCGATTGCTTGTAACTATCACGTGTTAAGAGTTGATACTATGCCGCTTCTCTGCCTTGTTTTTCACTTACGTTGTTGTTGACTGTAAGCATAAAAACTAATAAATAAACACTTTAAAACATGATGGAGAAAAGCTGCTTCTTCAGTGCATGAATGCTGTGCTCAGTGCTCGTCTCTCAGTGTTTGTGTCGAGGCAGTAAAGGGTGAACAGGAGATGGAGAGAGAGGCTGGATCGTCTGCAGCAGCCGTCTGGTTTCCTCCGTCTGATCATGAACCGTCCGGAGCTGATCCTCCACCTCACCGCCAGACAACAGAGAGGAGAAGTCTCCATCTGCAGGGGAAACAAACAGAAGACTCACAACTCCTGGATTTCAAGGCCTGATAATGATTAATTTGTTAAGAATATCTACTATGATAAGATGGTGTAAATGGCTACAGTACTTTGAGTTGCTTTTGGTGGATTTTGTCCCCACTACTGTTTAAAATGCATCAAGAAATGTTAACTAAATAATGAGGACGCTTTTAGAAAGGTTGTTTCGCACAGCAGACCATGTAAAAATATAGGAGAAACACATTTACATCGTCTAAAAAAGTAACAGAGAAAAGGGGAAAACCCTAGCCTACTGATTATTAAAGGATTACCAAAAAAGCCAAAACAAGACAGAAGTAGGAATAACAAAAAGAGATGCAAAATGTCTGCCAAAGAGACGTAAAACAACCAAAAAGAGACCGGATATAACCATAAAGAGACACAAAAAGTCTAATAAGAGATGCAAAACGTCTACAAGAAGATGCAAAATGACCAAAAAGAAATGCAAAACTACTAAAAAGGGACAAAACAATTAACAAAATAACAAAAATGAAAGAAATTGACCACAAAAGGATGCAAAATGTCTATTAACAGTGCAAAACAACCAAAAAGAGACAGGATTAGAACACAGTAAAACAACATGACAGTCCAAAAGAGATGCAAAACTTCAACACAAAGTAACACCCTAGGATAGAATGAATACAAACCTGTCTTGAGGTTGGATATCGTCACTATGCCAAGCTGCTGGAACTTTAAATCTTTATTTTTGAGAAACACCGACAGGTACTCCAACATGGTGACGTAGTGAGGCTTCAGCAGCTGGACCGTCTCTCCTGGATAAACAGTATGAAGACACACAGTTTCATAAAATCAATCTGTTTACTATCAGGTAGTCATACTTTCACAGAACATTATGTACCTGTCATTTCCAGTCTGCTGATGACGGCCGCACTGTTGTACGATAACTGAGGATTTTGTGTTTGTCCCGATAACTTCACAAGTCTGGAAACGTGCTCTGATGTTATCATGACCGACAACTCAGACTTAAGTGGATCTAAAAAGGTGAAGGATTATGGCAAATTACAAAACAGATAAAGAATGTCTTTTGAGTTTTATTCCACAGAGAAAGAGCAAAACAGAACAGACAAATACTAGTTTGAGTCCAGGTCCCTCACGTTGTGTCATGAGGTTTTGCAAGCATGACGTCAGATGCATTAAAGTGTCATCAGTCAGAGACGGAGACAGAAGAGCTCCGAGGAGTCCTGACAAACAGCGAGCCTCCATCACAGCCTGGATAAGAAAGACGGGATTATACACAGGCGCGTTGTGTATTTACTGCAGGCGTGTGACGTTAAATCATGAGTTTGTTTTACCTGCTGACCCTCGCTGCAGCTGCTCAGGTCAGTGATGATCCTGCAGCTGTGTGTGATGATGACGGAGCTGCATGTGGGATGAAGAAGCAGCTGACCCACTTCCTCCAGCAGACCCTCGCTCACCAGGATGTCCTGCAAACAAACCAGGGAGATATTATCAAAACTGGGATAAAAACAGAGCAGTAAATTATGTTTTTGATTGGACATCTACTGATTACTAGTTCAATGTCATGTTAAAAGAAGGGATGTCCCCTCAGAAAATATCCTTGGACTTTGGAATTGCCTCTGTTTGAAGCTATTGCTCACATGGCTTGTTGGTTAGTAACTAAGGGAGACAGAATGATAACAAAAAGACATACAATAAGATGCAAAACCTGACCAAAAATAGATGTACTATTATATAGATGGATACAGAAACACAAAACAAAGGAGAGAGAATACAACTAATTAGGAAAACCACATGTCTAGATGCAAAATCACCTAAATTACTAGAGAGACTGAAACAAGACACAAGACAACAAAAGTGAAAGAAATTACAAACACAAAGGGATGCATAATGTCTACAAAAGACTCAGAATGACCGAGAAAAGATGCAAAAACTATGACACAGACCAAAACAAGACACAAAACAACAACGAAAGAAAGAGAATATGATCCCAAAGGGGGACAATGTTCTACAAAGATATGCAAAACAACCAAAAAGTAACAAGAGAAACGAAACGACTGCACAGAGATGAAGATGTGGATAGTATGTAAATTGTAATCCCTGTAATGCTACTGTATGATGTCCTTTTGTTGTTCTGTTTATGTTTTTAATGTTTCATGTGGAACCTACTTGAGCAGGTCTCCCTTGAAAAAGAGATCAATGATCTCAATGGGATACAACCTGGATAAATAAAGGTGTGAAATGAAATTAAATGAAGAACCACCGAAATGAGACACAAAATGACAACAAAAAGTCACAAAGAGGCGAACAATGTCTACTAAGAGACACAAGACAACCAACAGAGACATACAAACTCTAAAGAGGCATAGAATATGACGCAGAATGACCAAACAGAGACTAAAACAACAGAAAAGACAGGATATGACAAACAAGAGACAATAAACCATCACAAGGAGTCGCCAAAAATCTACAAAGATGATAAAAGAAATGTCTTGAATCTGTGGCTCTTGTTCTTAGGTAGGGGGCGTTCATGTCTGAAGCCCATTGTGTCGTTATTAATCCATGATCTAACCCCTTCACAGCTGACACACACCACTAATGTTTACCAATGATTATTATTAAGATCCCGCTGTGGAGGAAACCTCACTTTGTTCGGTGTGTGTGACGTCAGCGCAGACAGCAGTGTGACGGCTGACTCTCTCCACACAGCAGAGGACGTCTTCAGCAGTGACTGCAGAGGCAACAAGCAGTCCAGATCTATCAGCTGCTCCAGGATCAGATCTACAAACAACAACAACACACAGTCCAGCTCCATCAGCTGCTCCTGGATCAGATCTACACACAACAACACACAGTCCGGATCCATCAGCTGCTCCTGGATCAGATCGACACACAACAACACACAGTCCAGCTCCATCAGCTGCTCCTGGATCAGATCTACACACAACAACACACAGTCCAGATCCATCAGCTGCTCCTGGATCAGATCTACACACAACAACACACAGTCCAGCTTCATCACATAGCCATCAAGCGAGCCTCAAAATGGGCGCCACATCATGGCTACGGCGTGCAGTGAAGACTCACAATTGGCTCAGATGTCTGGAGGGCTGCCTCGTTATCAGAGACGAGTTGAGGGCTCTACCATTAATGGTCATCTGAAGTTTGGTAATGTTTGGACCATTTACCATTGAGTTACGTTGACATCGTGTTTTATGGCGAGTTCGTGTTTCCATGGCAACAGCATATGATGAGATGATCAGATTTGACGTAGAGCTGTTCAGGGCCAGAGCGTTAACTATCATGTGACGTTTGGTGCCATTTGGACTATGTACTTTTGACTTGTGACAACATTGGGTTTTATTGTTGTTTTATTGTTGTTTATTGTTTATTGTTGTTTTGTTTAGTTTGTACTGTTTCTGTTTCTGATTTTATGTAAAGCATCTTTGAGCACTAGGAAAAGCGCCATAACAATTAAATGTATTACTATAATTTGTATTATTGCGAGTTTGTGTTTCCATGGCAACACCATAAATCTAAACCAAACTATTTCAGTGACATCACTTATGACATCCTGACACACTGAAGCGATGACATCATTGGCATTGATGAGTGTTCCGTCACAGAAGATCAGAGAGATCTGTGATGTCATGGTGATGTCACAGGAGTCCGAAGGAAGATTGCAAGGGCTGTGATGTGCATTCACTCGTCACTCTTCACTCCAAAGCTGTAAGTGGTTAGACGCATTCAGACAACCTTCGCAGACTTCTACACAGAACACTTCTTCCAAAGAGAAATAGATTATTCTACCTACGCACAACACAAGTCTACAGACGGTGCCATGGATAGAAGAAGCCCCCAGAACAACAGGGGAAACCCCAGGCCATTCGACCATGGAGCAGAAGCGGATCGAGCTTACAGGCAGGTCCACTGCAGAAATGGCCAGATATATGGCCTGGATGAGTATCGTGGGGCATTTCAGGAGGAGAGGACGAAATTTTGCCACAGTATGCACAACCAAAAAGACAAGGTCAAACGTCTTGAGGAGCTCCTGGGCTACAGGAACAAAAAGCTGGTTGACACCAACATGGAGCATGAGGCAGAAATCTCCCGTCTGAATAAGAATATGGAAGATGCAGAATGCCAACACAAGAGGCAGTTGGACCAAATTGTGGCAAGGCATGAGGCAGAGAAAGGAAATGTCTCAGACGAGAAGGACCAGGCGACATCTGACAGCGAGAATAATGATGTTCCCCTGCAGTGTGACCCAGAGATCATCAAAGAGCTGATAAGAAAAGGGGATGAACTCCTTGAGTGTGTGACAATCTTGGAGGATAGAAACAGCGATCTGGAGGAGAACATGGAAGCTGCAGAGCTTCAACACAAAGAGCAGCTGGAAGACACAGTGGCATGGTATGAGACACAGCAACAGAAGCTCTCAGACCAACACAACGAGGCCAACCTGGTGACTTTAAACCTGCTGCAGAGAAGAGAGGAACAACTCCTTCAATGCGAGGAAAAGTTCACTAAGAGCCTGGCCGAAAATAACCTGAGCTGGGAGACGGACGTCAAACAGCTGAAAGAACAGATGAGAGAGCAGGAGGAGAAGTTCTCCAAAGACCTGGCTGAAAAACAGCTGAACTGGGAGCAGTTTGTCCAACGCAAGGAGACAAACCAATTGGTTTGGAAGAAGAAGTTCTCCAAAGACCTGGCCCAGAACCAGGAGAGCTGGGAGACCAAGGTTAATTTGGTAGAGACCAAATTAAACGAGGTAACTCAGAAGAAGGACGAGGTCGTCCAGAAACACCAGAGCTTGGAGATCAAGTTTATTCTGATGGAGATACGACTGAAACAGGTGGAGGAGCAGAGGGACAACGGGGCTCAGAGAAGACTGAGCTGGGCAACAACTGAGAAAAAGATGGAGGAGGAAAATAAACTTCTGGAAGACCTCTGTCTTCACATGAAGAATAAGAGCAGAGGTTTCTTCTCTCGCAGGAGGGGGGAGACTGAGGATAGAGACGTTGCCTTGCAGAAAATGATAAGCAAGATGCAAGAGAAGGAGATGAGGAAGAAAGCCAAAGACGCGAGAAACACCTCCATAGAAGATGGAGAAGATGGAGAAGATGGAGGAAGCTTCTGGTGATTCAGCTCCAGCTCCAGCTGGACAACAGTAACTCCCTCCCTCCATTTCCCTCACCTCCTTCTTCCTACCTCACCCCCTCCCTCCTTCACTTTTTGCTCAGATAGGGTTTTCTCCTGGAGCTCAGGTTTTCCAGAAATCCATATTAATAAGGATTCAAAAAAACATCAACAATAAGTCCCTCCTCCATTTACCTCACCTCCTTCCTACCTCACCTCCTTCCTCCTACCTCACCCCCTCCCTCCTTCACTTTTTGCTCAGATAGGGTTTTCTCCTGGAGCTCAGGTTTTCCAGAAATCCATATTAATAAGGATTCAAAAAAACATCAACAATAAGTCCCTCCTCCATTTACCTCACCTCACTCCACCCTCCAAAGCGTCTTTGAATTCAAGAAAAGCGCTATATAAATATAATGTATTGTTGTGTCTTCCCCCTCATACGGTGTTCCTGAAGTGCAAGTCAAAACAACATTTCAGAAAACACTACAGCATTTCACATTTTACGGAAAGGGTATTCCTTTAAGGAGAACACTTCTTGTTTGTGATTGGACAGAGCCAGCCAGAGAAGCACTGCTGTGATTGGTTGTTTTTGCTGCCAGTTAAGAAATTACGCTTCGTGATTGGTCTGCACCCGGCCGACAGCACCACGTATTTCCTGTTTGGTACTGTTCAGCTGTTTCTTCTTCACGAATTGTAAAACTGAGTTGGAAAGAATGGAAGAAGAGATGGAACGAAGGATATACATACGATGTTATCCTCGACATGCTGTCAACCCATCACGACATCTACATGTCCCTTAGAACCAGGGGTGTAGTGCTTGTGACTACCCGATTTGCATCTTTGTCCGATTTGCATTGCGCAAGCGTGAGATGGTCTGCCGTATTGGACAGCTACATACGGCAACCCAAATAGGACACTTGACACAGTGGCGTTTGGCAAAGCAGAAAAAGAAAACTAAAAAAAACCAGACAACATTAATCTGAACGATATATATATATATAATTCCAAAGCTGGTAAAGACCTTTCAAATGTAGCAATAATTGTCATATAAGAAAACTACTGATCTAATAACAGAGATGTGTTCTTCAATCAACTTTTTTATGGAAAATCTTTTATGTAATTGTATTTAATTTGAAATAAAATGAAAGACATTCATAGTTAATGTAATTACATATAAATTATTAATGCCAAACATTTTTTGCATACATTCACAGTAATATTTTCTTCAGTATGATAACTGTCTAACAGAAGTTAATACATTTCTCACTTATTCTAAGAATGTAATTAACCCAATAAAAGTATTTGTTAAATAATAGTGAAGTCACGTTGTAATAACAATAACTCTCTCTCTTGTTCAGATTAATGTTGCCGGGTTTTTTTATTATTTTTTTCTACTTTGCGAAACAAATGTCCTATTTGGGTTGCCGTATGTAGCTGTCCAATATGGCGGACCATCTCGCGCTTGCGCAATGCAAATCGGGCAGGAGATGCAAATCGGGTAGTCACAGCTGCCGGAGCGCCGCTCCGGTTGTTAGCATCTGGTTAGCTAGCTATGCTAACGTACATAAGGAGTTGTTTTCTACAACAAGGTGGAGGAGAGTCCTCTCCTGTCAGACTAAGAGGATCTTATAACTACAGCTCAGTGAGCTAAAGGACTCTGAGTGTTTAGATAGTTAACTTTAGTCTAAGCTATCTCAGGTGGGTCTCAAACGGTTTTGGTCACCATTTATGTAAACAAGTATTTCCAAAGCACACCTTTTTATTATCATTATAGTTATAAAAAATAAGAGAATAAATGAAAAACAGGTATGAAATAATTCCAACTCATACTATAGGACAGTAAAACTAAAATACAGTTTAAAAGGGGAGTGATTAGTAAGATATGCATAAAGAAAAGGTACTTCTGTTTACAGTACTGTTTCACTTGGGTGTTGTTGAGAGATGTATCAATAGATTTAGTCCCTAACTTTGCTCTCAAAGTGCAGCAGATTGATGCATTTAATTTCAACATTTAAAAAAATCATCTTCCCGGGGGAGCATGCCCCCGGACCCCCCTAGAGGATGTTAGGTCCACCACCCACAAAAAAAAGGGTCACATGGATAGAATTCTAAATACATTTGATATAGTAGCCTATGTCCATATGTTGCTTTTTTGTTGGTCATAGGTGCGCTCCTGCACTACACCCCTGCTTAGAACCCTGAAAGCGCAGTTTAAAGAGTTAGGACTGAGGAGACCTCACTTACTTTATTTATTTATTTTATTTTAACCTTTTATGTTTAAAGTGTGCTATATAAATCAAATGTATTATTATTATTATTATTACTGAGCTGTAGTTATAAGATCCTCTCAGTCTGAAAGGAGAGGACTCTCCTCCACCTTGTTGTAGAAACAACTCCTTATGTACGTTAGCATAGCTAGCTAACCAGATGCTAACAACCGGAGCGGCGCTCCGGCAGCACTACACCCCTGGTTCTAAGGGACATGTAGATGTCGTGATGGGTTGACAGCATGTCGAGGATAACATCGTATGTATATCCTTCGTTCCATCTCTTCTTCCATTCTTTCCAACTCAGTTTACAATTCGTGAAGAAACAGCTGAACAGTACCAAACAGGAAATACGTGGTGCTGTTGGACGGGTGCAGACCAATCACAAAGCATAATTTCTTGACTGGCAGCAAAAACAACCAATCACAGCAACTTCTCTGGCTGGCTCTGTCCAATCACAAACAAGAAGTGTTCTCCCTAAAGGAATACCCTTTCCGTAAAATGTGAAATGTTTAAGTGTTTTCTGAAATGTTGTTTTGACTTGCACTTCAGGAACACCGTATGAGGGGGAAGATACAACAATTATATTTATATAGCGCTTTTCTTGAACTCAAAACGCTTTGGAGGGTGGAGTGAGGTGAGGTAAATGGAGGAGGGACTTTTTGCTGATGTTTTTTTTAATCCTTATTAATATGGATTTCTGGAAAACCTGAGGTCCAGAATACCCTATCTGATCCACTTTTGGGTTTTCTCCTGGAGCTCAGGTTCGCCCAATACAATTAGGATTTGATTTAAAAATAAAATACAAATTCAAATCTATCTTTGTACGCATGTGCCTCACTGTGTAAACATATACAGTATACATTATTTACTGTATACATTTTGGGTTACTAAAGTACTTCTTTTTATTCATTGTATGTTTAATCAACACTTTCATAAATAAAACAACCCATGGTATGAAAATATAAAAGTGTTTTTATATTTGTCTCCACTGTACACATTCAATTCCATTATATATGTATATATTTTTTAAATGTGTTCATAGAAGCTGGTCAAATATTCTGGGGACTTTAATACTCCAAATGTTTGAGGTGAAGAGCGGAACATGTAATTGTATTGACTGAAACATGGAGTCACTCACCTCAATAGAGTCAAATAAAAACTGAAAATGTATATATGCCTTATGTGATGTGCTTTTGATTCAACAACACAAACATTTAAAACCTCACTTAAATAGAAATGCGTAATTATTATCTGCAAAACTTTGGTAAAAAAATCATCGCTGTCAGGGGTTTCACTAACAAATAGTTTATTTATCTTGAGAAGTAGGAAGATTTCTAAAACCCATTAAAGGTGGGGTAGGGTAAGTTTGAGAACCGGCTCGAGATACACTTTTTGTTATATTCCATGGAATGCTCTTAACATCCCGATAGCAATGAATATCTTAAGTGCTTTGACAAAAAATCCATACAAGAATTTCATCTGTGGAAGCCGTAGTACTGTAAAAAGCACGACCAATCATCTGAGCCGGCCCGGCTAAAATACTGGATGGCCTACCTGCCTGTCAGCCTTCCATGTGTGCACAAACCTATCTCGTGCCCTCATTGGTCATGTGCGCGTTCGTGTGTGTTGGAGGAGGGGCTCTATAAGGAAGTGGCAGATCTTTTCTTCCGGTTGTGTATTTTCAAATTCTAGCGCACTCGAGCTGGTTTCTCCAAAATGACCTACCACCACCTTTAACAGACACAAGTTAATGAAAACTCACATTTAAAATTACCTAATTATGGTATGGATAGGGTTTAGGGTTAGGGTTAGTACAAATTGTTCAGTATATCTAAAAGAATGCAATGTAATGTAAGAAAAACGTAACTGAGTAAAAAGTAAAATAGTTACCTGAGAGATGAAGTGATTTAGAAAAGTATAAAGATGAATAAGATGGAAATACTTAAGTACTTTTATTTTATACTTAAGTTTATCACTTGGGGAACACTGGAAAATATGATATTATAATATTATGATTTATAGCAAAGGCTCTAGATTACAAAGCGTTTATAATACAGTACATTATTGTATGCCGTAACGGCTGTGGGATTACATATGGTGGGTTTAAAGGGGACATTAAGTCTCTGAGTTTCTATATTACGGCTACACAGTTTATCATAGACAATTATGACTATTTTTGATTTCCATAAACTCTTTGGGGGACATGCCATTCATGTTACATAGCTTGGACTTCATCATGATTGACACCAAACGTAAAGACTTCGACACAATTCTGTTGTAATGTAGATGTTTTGAGGCATGGACCGGTGATTACATGTGAAATTTGGTAGCGATCGGACCGTGTCCATTGGTGTCACAGCAATATCGTGTTTCGGCACCTCAGATTTGGAGATGAGCTGTTCAGGGCCGAAGCATTAACCATCATGTGACGTTTGGGGCCGTTTGGAGCATGTCAGCTGGCGTTAGGAGATAATCACCTTCCATGGAAAGGGATCACATAGCCATCAGGCGAGAGTCAAAATGGGCGCCACTAACTTTGCATCTGCCAGGTCTTGAGATGCTACTGTCAAGATTTGAAGATGATTGGATAAAATCCCTAGGAGGAGTTTGTTGTTAAAGTACGGTGCACTTTTCTGTCCCCAGAGTCAGAACTAAACATGGAGAAGTTCAGTTATTATGCTCCAAGTATCTGGAACAAACTCCCAGAAACCTGCCGGTCGGCTGCAACTCTGTCTACTTTTAAATCCAGCCTGAAGACTTTCTTTTTGACGCTGCTTTTATTGAACTATTCATCTCTTACACTGCACTGTAACTTTTATTCATGTATTTTATATCTGTGTTATTCTATATTAGCTTGTTTTGTTTGACAAGATCTTTGAATTGCCACTTTGGCAACACTTTGAATTGCCTTGTGTTGAAAGGTGCTATATAAATAAACTTGCCTTGCTCGAAAAACACTCCACACAACATGTCACAGTCCACGCAAAATATAAATATTATGGGAAATTAAAAAAGTTACTTTAGTTAAAAATACACAAGTACTATCTTCAATGGTAAAAATGTATTTAAAATACATTTTCTCACATCTAGTATAGACACTTTTTGAGTTTGCATCTTCATGGTTACATGCACTTATTGTTATTTCAATGGATAAAAGCATCAGCAAAATGAAATGGGAAAATATTTACCATTCTGTGAGAGAGTATGTAGGCATCTGCACGCCTGCATCGAGTTCTAAACAACAACAAAACTGAATTTTTAATCATACATTTTTGTGAACTTACCTTCAAACTCACCTCTACAGTCGATAGATAGATAGATAGATAGTTACTGTAGGTAGGTAGGTACTTTATTAATCCCAAATTGCGAAATTATTTTTGTTACAGGACCAGTGTGCTCAACATTAAAATACAAATACTCAAAAGTGGAAAAGAGTTAATTAAAATGAAAATGAAAAATAGTATATCAATCACTATAAACAATATACAAAATTAAAATGTTCTTTAGAAAAAGGTAAACAAATACTGCAGTAGCATGAATATAGGCTTATAATATACTGTATATACATATGATAGATTCAAAAGATTCAAAGGTTTTATTATCATATGTACAAAGCTACAGTGTAGAAATGGCAATGAAATTCTATTTGATCTGTTTTATTGTGTTGCACTGTTGGAGGAGCGTGTGACCTCAGATTTTCATTGATATATCTACACTGTAGCTATGTACACATGACAATAAAGCCTTGAATCTTGAGGAAGGAGAAACTCAACGTTACATTTTGCACGGAGGAGGAGGCGAGCGTCAGCAGGGACTTCAACAGGAAGTGACTCCCGATGCTGAGCAGCTTTGGGTGGAGCTCCCGAGCAGAAGAGATGTTGCAGAGGGCGGAGCAGCTGTAGAACTGGACCTCTGAGTCTGAGCCCTGCAGCAGCAGAACCAGAACCGGGAAACCCCCCGCATCACCCAGCAGCCTCCTGGACCAATCTGGAGAGAGAGAGGAGCATAACACCAGAAAAAAACATCTGCTTTTGTTAAATATGTGAGGATTTAAAAGTCACCTGTTATGCAAAATCCTCTTCTTCATGTCTCTTCTACATCAACATGTGTCCCCTCTGTGGAAAGAGACTCTGAAAGTTTCAGGAAAAAAAATTCTCTCACTTTTTGTCCTGATCCATTTGATATAAAAACCTGTCTGAAAATGAGCTGATCAGATTTTGGCCACTTAATGATGTCATAGCGATCTTTTGGCTTGTGTAACCATTAGCGAATCAGCAACCAAGGTAACCCCCCCCCATTATCACCTGAATCTCCTCCTAGAGCACCATTATGTTATTTTTACCCAAATCTCTCTCAGAGGGGCGTGGGGAGTGGCTCCTTATTTTCTTTTTTTCAAAACATTTTTGCTATCTGGGCTGTTAACCAAATTAAGTAAAGTGAGTTGAAGTAAACTATGACGTTTTTATTAATTTCCGTAAATTCCCACCAGTAAGCTTAGCTAATGTTACATCATTAAACTGCACTCAGACTAGCCAAACGTAAACTTGCTACAGTGGCAGTTAGCAGCTAGCTTACACATATAACGTAAATGAAGCATACCGACAACAATTCATTGAACTATGCTCACCAGTACTTTTTAGCAGAAAGTTACAAAATATTTAATGTTATCTTTGTAGACATCGTGTACAAAGATTATACTTTACATTACTTCGGTAATGTGATATGTACTCCCGTCGCCGAAAAGAGGGTACTGCAGTGACTGCTCACATTAGCTACATTTTCTGATATCACTTGCTAACTGGTTACTAGTTATCTAACAAAACGTTGCTAACTTCAGTGCTCAAACGTTAGAATACTTTAAAGGGGTTTCCGAGGAACTACTGAATCAACTGAAACCTATAATTATCACACTTTGCACAAATGTACACGAATTTTCGAAACGTTAAGCCTGGCAAATGTCTGCGGGAGTCATCACCGTAAACTTCCGGTCGGCGCATTAAAAACAAGACAGCCAGGTAAGTGAAATGTGAAATTAAAATTTGTGGGAGTTAAAATAGCCTATTAGACAAAAAAAACCTATTACAATTAGGAAAATAAATTCAACTACATAGGCTACTCGTTTATTAGACACGAATAAATACAAATCACATTAAATAAATTAAAAGCAGCCTTTTTGTAAGGGTGTGGGCAGGGCCGGCGTTGTGTCAAATTATGCACCCCCATCATGAAATGCCCCCCTTGTCACGGGAACGCGCATTTCTAAATGACACGTTTACACCTTAAAACGATGTTTAAAACGAAAAGTAAACGTTCAGGGTTTTTATTAATGGTAATTTTCAGACTGTGAGTTGTTTAGTGGTAGCTCATATAGTCTTGATTCTTGTGGTTAAACTTTTCGCTCCGTATTTGATGTAGTGGTGTCGAAATTCATTCGTCACTTCCTTTTCAGTTTTTTGTTTTTTTAATCTTTTTTTTTTCTTATTATTGTTACGTCCTGTCTGTATACACGTGCTTTAAAATGTATTGTTTAATTTTACATATTTGTCATATAATAATCAAAATATATGTTTACAAATGTTACATAGTCTTTGTCAGCATATTTTTGCCACGTTATGCACCCCTTGCTATCTTACATAATAAAAGTGTCACATTCATGAAACTTGCTCCATTCATTGGTACTATTCCTACAACTATACTCTGAAAAATGCTTGAGGGTGGGAATAATAGAAACATCTTTTTGGGTGGGGTGCATTTTATGACAGGCCTGGTTATCACAATATGCCCCCCCTTGCTATCTTACAAAATAAAAGTGTCACATTCATGAAACTTGCTCCATTCATTGGTACTAGTCCTACAACTATACCCTGAAAAATGCTTGAGGGTGGGATTAATACAAACATCTTTTTGGGTGGGGTGCATTTTATGAATGTGACACTTTTATTTTGTAAGATAGCAGGGGGGGGGCATATTGTGATAACCAGGCCTGTCATAAAATGCACCCCCCCCCCCAAAAAGATGTTTCTATTAATCCCACCCTCAAGCATTTTTTAGGGTATAGTTGTAGGACTAGTACCAATGAATGGAGCAAGTTTCATGAATGTGACACTTTTATTATGTAAGATAGCAAGGGGTGCATAACGTGGCAAAAATATGCTGACAAAGACTATGTAACATTTGTAAACATATATTTTGATTATTATATGACAAATATGTAAAATTAAACCACACATTTTAAAGCACCTGTACACAGACAGGACGTAACAATAATAAGAAAAAAAAAAGATTAAAAAAAACAAAAACTGAAAAGGAAGTGACGAATGAATTTCGACACCACTACCATCAAATACGGAGCGAAAAGTTTAACCACAAGAATCAAGACTATATGAGCTACCACTAAACAACTCACAGTCTGAAAATTACCATTAATAAAAACCCTGAACGTTTACTTTTCGTTTTAAACAACGTTTTAAGGTTTAAACGTGTCATTTAGAAATGCGCGTTCCCGTGACAAGGGGGGCATTTCATGATGGGGGTGCATCATTTGACACAACACCGGCCCTGACCAATTTGCTGTTTTATATACACACTACAGTCTATGTTTTTTTCCTGTGTTTTCTCTTAGGTCTTTGGTGAGAATCATTACTACAAGTAAACAGCAGAGGTCAGCACAACATCATGTTACTGCTGGGCGGATAATGTCTGCAGGTAAAAGCAAAACAATGTCAGTGTTGAAGTCTTTATTTATGAGTAAAGCTGACAGAGCTTTCATGATATTTATTTCTCTGTTTCGTTATGAGCTGTTTAGTATAACTGACATCTTCCAGGTCACCGTGCAGTTTTACTAGGTCAAAAAGATGAGGAATCCAGAAATTGCCTTTATGCAAGTCACTGGGCTCAGAAATTGTTTTAAAAAAAGCCATATGGGTTTAATTACGAGAAGGATTTCCCCATAAAAGTTAATATATATATATACAAAATAATAATAGCCAAAGAGATAGAGTGTGGAAATCCAAGCGTACCCTCTTTGTACTGCATAACAATTAACCTCGTTGTAATCACCACTGTTATCCAATTACAGGCATTCTGTTAATTCACTCCCTGCACAATGTTTAATAATATCCTCCACATGGGTAATTCTTCCTGATAGTGAGGAGGGCAGGGTGTCTGAGAGGTGAACCTGTCCCCGACTCATCTTATTCAATATTCCTCTCTAATCCAACTGTAATTGCTTAGCCTCAACTTTAAACTTTACTTTTAAAGATTCATTTCCTGAACTACTTGATAGCAGTTCTGCTCCGCTGGCTCCACACACTGCCCGCAGGCCCTCTGCACGATGGTAATTTCTTGATGAGCTGCTTACTCACCCAGATCAATTCTTCCCCTTCCTCTCTCCTCCTCTTGTCATTGTCTCCTGCGAGGACTTGACACATCCTTTCTGTCTTAAGTGAAGCTTTACCATGCCTGCAGGACACTGAATGAGTAATAGCCAGCTCTGTGTGTGAGGAAATGTTACTGGCAACACAAAAAGACATAATGAAAAGTGGGAGACAAAGTGTTGGAGCTCAGGGGTGAAGTCATCGCAGTGGGCATGTGAGAACAGGAGCTGGGTCTCTATCTGGAGCCAGCTAATTGAGTGTGGATGATTGAGAGTAGACACAGGTAGGCGCTGTGTTTGAGTATGTTGTTCCCCCTCTTCCGTTTCAATGACTATGAACAAAAGGGGCAGACTCTTTTCCCTAATCAAGCTAATGGAGTGGGAATGAGCTGCTGATGGGCAGCGACAGGTAGAAGGGCCTCCGGGGGATTTAAGGGGGAAGAGAAAGACTGAGGTGAGGACTTCAGCCTCTGATTGGCCGGACACGGATAATAAAAAGACCTGACTTGTGCTCAGATCCATTAGCAGGTGGTTCTGGTCTGAGGAGCATACAGGGACAAAGTGTTAGCCACCCACACTGAGAGAGAGAAACTTCAGAGAGGATACTGCAGGCCCGGTACTAAAACAGAGAGAATAGTACCAACTAACTTCTTAACCTTGAGTGTGTCATTATATTTTGTAGCTTATATTAAACTGTTACTAGATTTGTAAGTCACAGGTGAGATGACCCTGCAACAGAAGAAGTCACAATGGTGAGTGAATTCAGTTTAACTGCATTATAATGGAGTCCAGTTTTACCCTGTTGTTCCTCTGTTCTTCTTCAATAGATTGAAAGAGCTCAGTCATTGGATTGTACTGTGATTTGCAAATATCATTCTAAATGTGAGATGATCAAAAGGTCTACACAGCATCTTTTTCACTGCTGTTTCAAAGGTCAACATTGGACTCAAACTATCCAATTTCTTAAGCAACATAGACGTCCTGAAAACTTGTTTAAACTGGACCATTTACTCTCAACTCCATGTATTGTTCCAAATCCATATGTTGATATGACAAAAAGCTCTACATATCCTTTTTTCTATTTTGTTTGATTTAATATACAAAATCTATCATGACGGAAATCGAATTTTAAATACAACAGTTATTTATAGGTTTTGTTATATTTCAAAAAACTGCTAAATGTATATTGAAATATGTTTAAGAAAGTACTCACTTCATAATGTGTTTGCCTGACTGGGACCATTTTTCAGACTGGCATTGTTTTTCTGATATGAAAAAATACACTCTTAGATGCTCCTGGTCTTGTATTAGATGTCCTGATGAGTCAAATGTTCTGTGTTGTTCACATCAAGATGGGAATTAGAGTCAGGTAAAGTCAGATGATCTCTTATTAAACAGCACGAAGTGCAGTCTGGCTTCAGAGAAAGGAGCCCATCAACCGAGGTCCATGTTCCTTGAATTTGCCTGAATACAATCTAACAATAAACATGTTCACTCTTATTAATATAAAATTGGAATAAATGTAGAATTCTTGTCATATAAATAATTAAAATAATTGAGCTAGGGGAGTTGGTAAGACATCTTGAATAAGACCCCTTCACAGTGACATAACAGACCTCAGAATACTATGTGGTTTCAAAAGCCATGAAATACACCTTCACATATGAAAACACTGTAAAAGG